TCATGAATTATTTGAATTGTGGTTTAAACCTGATTGTTCTTTTAATTAAACACTGACAGAAATTCTGCTAACAACGAATATTTAACCTTTAGAAAAGGACAGGAAGTTAGATCCTTACCAAAATAAAACAGACTGTGATGGTGTTTTTTTTTTCTTGGCCACTGTCTTAAATGATTTTACGTGACTCTTTTGCATGCTATAAACTGCTCTCCTGTTTACTTCCTGTTTTGTCCCCTCGTTTATCTTTCTGCCTGTATTTGATCTGTGGCCATCGTACAATGTTTTTAATGTCCTACTGTAATCCTAACTATTCCCCCCATTTAGCGCATGTTTCTTTTATTTTACTGTGAATTTTATTTTATTGTTTTATTCAAACAGTAATTTCCATATTATCAAAGAGCAGAGCCAGTAAAAGCCCAGTGTTTATCAAAATAACACAAAGATACACAACCTCTCCACCATGACAACTTTATTATACAATAAATACAATCAAAGGGACTCTGAAAAGATAAACAAGGTAAGAAAGATTTATGTAATACATGTGAAAAATAACAATAGCCACAATGCTACAGAAACACCTTAACAGAAACATTCACCCAACAAAAGCAGCAGCATATTACGTCCTCTTTAATTTTACTTCATACACCAAGTTTCAACATCAGTCATGTTTCATAAATAACCACTAAATCATGTGTTTCTACTACAATGACAAATGATTCCAACAGTTCATTTGTGAAATAAATGAAATCAGTTAGAAGAAATAACCTCAAATAAAAATGATGAAGATAAAAAGTGGAGTTAAATTTTGATTTTACGAAAATGAAGGTTATAAGGAAGCCGAGAGGGAGTGCAAAGTGCACGATTTTGAGTTTTCTTTAGCTTTTAAAATTTTACATTTTTAAAGTTCTGATTAATTTCACCTCCTTGTGCCTTTAAATCATTTAAATAAAACACTCAGAGGTGGAAAACCCTACATCATTTAAACTAAAGGCAACTCGTGTCTACATTAAGGCCACAGCTTGTAAATGGGGAACAAATCACAAATGACGTCTGTTCACAGTTAAAATCATTATAACTGATTGAATTTAACCACTTTTTACATGGTCTGGTTTGGTAGTCTTTTCTAAAATTTCCTATTAGTATTCTGAATGTCTTTTGTCCTCCTCATGCCAACCCATTTAAAAAAAAAATGGAGACATTTTAGCTGACTCAAAACACTAAATGTCTGCTGTAGGAACATGGGCAATGAAAGACGAATATAGTTTTTGGGTCTGAACAGTGAAGTCCTCACAGTTTGTAAGTGCATTGTAATGGCCACCAGGGGGCGATACCTGTGGCTGCAAAAAGACTGCTTGTCCTACAGTATCTATGCAAAAACATCCCTCTGCCCTGACCCCACTAAACACTCAGGTCATATTGAATAAAACCGTCAGTCCATTTAGTTCATTATGGTCATTTTAAGAGCCCGGCTATCCTTGTGATTGACAAGACATTATCCAATGAGCTGATTGTTTCAAAACAATCAGCTCATTGGTGATGGTGAAAAAAAGAAAAAAACTGAACTGAACTCGAGGCTTCACAGCAGTAGTTCATTAACCAACGCGTGACGTCCATCTTATGGTGTCTCTATCAGAGATATAACAGCAGATATAAAATACTCCATCTTTGGTCCCTCCTGCTGAGGATTTAACCACAATCGTGTCTCAAATCTCATTCGTCCATATTTACAAGTGCACAGCTGGGTTCACATGACAGCTGCATGAAGCGCTACATTTGCTGTCAAATGTCTTTGTGACGAGGCAGATTTAACAGTTGCAAAGGATCCTACACGCTCCTTCTGGATTCACTGTTCGCTCATAGAAAGTAAAGCAGAGCTCCTCGTCCCCCTGATGTCTGCTACCGTTTCAGGATCTCATTAGAGAGCCAGTCCAGACCTTCAACCAGACCGGTGCCGCTGACGGCGCAGGACGGCTGGACCGACCACTGCACAGACACAGAAGGATGAAAATATTAACAAGACACAGAAACAATAGGGCTACAAACAGCATTCATCAACGTCTTCAACTTGTAATGAATCATTTTAGCTAATTACCCTTTCATAATAACTGCATGTGGGTTCAGTTTGGGGCATGGCTGCTTTGACTGACAGGTGTGCCAACACAGATAATACCTGTCTTGTTCTTCTTGTATGTTATTAATCTGTTTCTCAGCACTAATCAGCAAGTCTTTGTGTTGCCCCCTGCACAGTTTATGCAAACCAAGTCACTTTAATCACACTACTAACCACATGTGGAAGACAGAAAACTCTGGAGCCAAACTTCTCCCATGCTCAGCAGAAGCTGGGGACACCTACCGGCTGTGACACTCCTTTTAAACTCAGGGCCTCGATGATGTCACTGACCGACATGGCTCTGGGTAAATCCTGCTTGTTAGCAAAGACCAGCACGGCCATGCCCTTCAGCTCATCCTCCTGCAACTGCAACAGGACAGTAAAACTAACTTTAACACGAGTCTGATGATGGTCTATTTCAAACTCAGACCTCTGACTGGTACTGTGTGGATTAAAAGCTGAATGAAGCAGTGTCGAAGTACCAAAGTCGTTAAAAGTTAACTAAAACGAAACTAAACTACAAGTAAAAATAAAAACATTCTAGTTAACTAAAGTAAAAGCTAAATTAATGAAAACTGATGAAAAACAAAACTATGGATAAGTTTAAATCTTTTTACCAGTGTGTGCAGCTCCTCAGATGCCTCTTTGATCCTCTCTGGGTCGTTGCTGTCGACCACAAATATCAAACCCTGAAGACAAACAGACAATATTTAAAAGCTCCTCACTGCAGCTGCTTCATAAAACACAAACACAGACTCCTGGGTTAAACGCCGGTGTTTACAGCAGCAGTCTCACCTGTGTGTTAACGTAGTAATGTCTCCACAGCGGCCTGATGATCGTCTGCCCACCAACATCCCAAACTGTGAAGCTGATGTTCTTATACTCCACAGTCTCCACATTAAACCCTGCACACGCACACACACACGGAACCATGTTTATTATTATTTAACTCTTTTATATTTCTCTCTCATAACAAGATGGAGGTTAAAAATGCTGACCAATAGTTGGGAGGGTGGCGACGACCTCGCCCAGCTTCAGTTTGTACAGCAGGGTGGTTTTACCTGCAGCATCCAGACCCACTGCAGAAACACAAACACACACAGACACACACAAGTGTTACTGTTGAAAATACAACCCATATTCAGCTGTCACGTATGAGTTTAGGGGCAAAGGATGCAGACATGTTACTTAAGTGAAGGCAATACATAAAATATCCACTTAGAACAACTTTCATTTGAGAACCCCTAGTTTCTGAGGGGCAGCCAATTAGGAAGAAGACGGGGAGGAACTACAACATCTTGCATCAGACAGAGGATGAACCTGGCTGCACCAAGGCCCAGTATTAAACAAATAAGGATTATTTGGAACTGTCAATCATGCAAAGCTGCTCTAGCAGAGTCTAAGAATAAAAACAAGAACATTCCCTTGTGTATTGTTATGCTACACATCAGTAATATCAATTATATTCTATGGCTGCTGATGCATTAACGTAAAGTAGTATTTTAGTTATATAGCTTGCAGCTGATTACCATCACTTAACATCACAAGTCATATTTTATAAGATGAACACAGGTTCTGTATGTAAACCATCATCAGTTAAGTACCTGTAATACAAATAAAAGTACGTAATACTTATACCTAGCCACACATACTGTAGTACTTATTATTCTTCACATTCCAATGTATTCAGTGTATTATGTAATATGGCAACAGCAAATAAGGGCAGGCTATGTAAAAATATTCATTTGCAATGCAAACTGTGGGCATCATAGAGTCCCAGAAAGTTTTTTCATTAGAAGAAATTTGAATGAATCAAAGCTGAGGCTCAAGTTTGCAAAAACTGCACAACAGCTTTCTTCTGAAGTTGCTCAGTATAAGAAAAAGTTTCTTTACGTTGTTAATGACATGTTGTTGTTTTTTGTTTGCTTGCGCTTGATTGTCATAGTAATATTTTTTTTAATAAGTAAAGAAAAATATAAGTCTGAAACGATTAATTAATAATTAAAAGTCAAATATATTCAAGGTCAACCTTAACTATGTAATAAAGCTTATCCTAAACTGAGATAAGATAAAATGACTTTATAGTCTCCTTTGAGTGAAAATCGTTTGAATCAGTCACCACAAAGAAACCCCTCAAACAGATGCACTATACAGATAATTACAGATGTTATAGATATATACTGTAGGTGATAAAGATAAGAACCATAACTTTTAAACTTATTTGCTCTTTGTAAGTAGAAAACAACCAAAAAGTGAGGAGAAAACTTAACAAAACTGCAGACTTTGCTTGTACGGGACTACATCTAGTAGTCAGCGATATCAGTAAGAACTCGGCATACTGGAAGCTCTGATAATTAAGCTAACATTAACTTACCCATCAAAATCCTGACGGGATGCTTGGAGAAGAGTCTGGAGAAAATGTGTGAGATGATGACGCCCATGGTTCAGCTAAGCCTCAGGTAGAAAGTGTCTCTCAGGTAGAAAGCCTCTCCGCTGTGCCTCTTTGTGTCTTTGCATGTGTGTGTCGGTGTTTTATAGCGCTCCAGCGTGTTGTTTTGGTCTGTGTATGTGTTATCCATGGTGTCATCAAGACTCCTGTCAAATCTGGACACGGTGGCACTGGTAACACCACCGGAAAACACTGGAAAACTCAACTTCCGCTAATCCAGCTTTCAAACTAAGAGAGCTTTCGAGCCGTTCTTCTTCTTCTTCTCATCATTTTTATTATTTGGAACCAACTAAGCAATAAAATGACTTTTGAAACCTGACTGGAGATCATAACTAACACATACAATCTACTCACATTAAGAAAATAAACACTTGCTTATCAAAAAGTGGTAACTGAGGATCAAGAGCACAATTTTCCATTTCACATATAGTTGCCTTTACAAAACTTTAGAGTTTTAACTTTAGCAAACAAGGTAAAAATGGAAGATGTATTACAGTGTTTTTGTTCCTCTGTTCCCATTTTGTTAAAGAAATGTTTTGCAAATTAATGCGCAGAACAATTAAATTTGTTTTGCATATGAATAAAACAATCCTTAAATTGTTCAATCAGGTTTTGTCGCATTTCCATGACATAATTTAAGTAAAAATGTTGCGGTGCTGTGTAACAGTAATCTTGTTCCTGAGTTTATTGTTCTAACTTCTGATATCTCTGATTCTGTTTTCCAACAATTCCAACGGCTCGAAAGCGCTCTTAATTTGAAAGCTGGATTAGCGGAAGTTGAGTTTTCCAGTGTTTTCCGGTGTTGTTACTAGTTCCACCGTGTCCAGATTTGACAGGAGTCTTGACGACACCATGGATAACACATACACAGAGCAAAACAACACGATGCAGCGCTATAAAACACCGACACACACATGCAAAGACACAAAGAGGCACAGCGGAGAGGCTTTCTACCTGAGAGACACTTTCTACCTGAGGCTTACCTGAATCATGGGCGTCATCATCTCACACATTTTCTCCAGACTCTTCTCCAAGCATCCCGTCAGGATTTTGATGGGTAAGTTAATACTTGTTATGACAACAACATGCAATTTTATTCTTTCTGACACATTGTGATGTAATTTAAACTGACATGAGTCTCGTGTAGTTTAATTATCAAAGCTTTAAGGATTATTACTTATTGTCTCTGCAGTTTTTGCCATTTTTCGCCTCAGTTTTTGCTTACTTCTTATTTACAAAGTGAAAATAACATTAACAGTAATGATCTTTATATTTATAATTCACCTATAGTATGTAAAATATGTGAGAACTTCCTCTGCAGTGTGAAGACATTTTCTTTACATATTCTAAGTGTTATTATTACTAATTACTATTTGTGTGGCCTGAACAAAGAAAGAAAAATCAATCCATTAATTAAATAAAAAAAACATTAATAACAAAAAAGCAAGCTAAAAACAAAAAAACTGAGCAATATTAAGATCGTATGTGATTTTTGTCAACTTTGTTTAGTTGTTCTAAGTGGATATTTTATGTATTGCCCTCACTTAAGTAACATGTCTGCATCCTTTGCCCCTAAACTCATACTTGACAGCTGAATATGTGTTGTGTTTTCAACAGTAACATGTGTGTGTGTTTGTGCTTCTGCAGTGGGTCTGGATGCTGCAGGTAAAACCACCCTGCTGTACAAACTGAAGCTGGGCGAGGTCGTCGCCACCCTCCCAACTATTGGTCAGCATTTTTAACCTCCATCTTGTTATGAGAGAGAAATATAAAAGAGTTAAATAATAATAAACATGGTTCCGTGTGTGTGTGTGCGTGTGCAGGGTTTAATGTGGAGACTGTGGAGTATAAGAACATCAGCTTCACAGTTTGGGATGTTGGTGGGCAGACGATCATCAGGCCGCTGTGGAGACATTACTACGTTAACACACAGGTGAGACTGCTGCTGTAAACACAGGCCTTTAACCCAGGAGTCTGTGTTTGTGTTTTATGAAGCAGCTGCAGTGAGGAGCTTTTAAATATTGTCTGTTTGTCTTCAGGGTTTGATATTTGTGGTCGACAGCAACGACCCGGAGAGGATCAAAGAGGCATCTGAGGAGCTGCACACACTGGTAAAAAGATTTAAACTTATCCATAGTTTTGTTTTTCATCAGTTTTCATTAATTTAGCTTTTACTTTAGTTAACTAGAATGTTTTTATTTTTACTTGTAGTTTAGTTTCGTTTTAGTTAACTTTTAACGACTTTGGTACTTCGACACTGCTTCATTCAGCTTTTAATCCACACAGTACCAGTCAGAGGTCTGAGTTTGAAATAGACCATCATCAGACTCGTGTTAAAGTTAGTTTTACTGTCCTGTTGCAGTTGCAGGAGGATGAGCTGAAGGGCATGGCCGTGCTGGTCTTTGCTAACAAGCAGGATTTACCCAGAGCCATGTCGGTCAGTGACATCATCGAGGCCCTGAGTTTAAAAGGAGTGACACAGCCGGTAGGTGTCCCCAGCTTCTGCTGAGCATGGGAGAAGTTTGGCTCCAGAGTTTTCTGTCTTCCACATGTGGTTAGCAGTGTGATTAAAGTGACTTGGTTTGTTAGCTGCAGTCATAAACGGTTTCGGCTGTGTGCTGTGTCTTGTTAATATTTTCATCCTTCTGTGTCTGTGCAGTGGTCAGTCCAGCCGTCCTGCGCCGTCAGCGGCACCGGTCTGGTTGAAGGTCTGGACTGGCTCTCTAATGAGATCCTGAAACGGTAGCAGACATCAGGGGGACGAGGAGTTTTGCTTCACTTTGTTTGTTGAGTCTTCTGTCTTCTATGAACTGAGGTGAGAGGTGAATTCAGAAGCAGCGACTTTGCAACTGTTAAATCGGCCTCATCACAAGGACATTTGACGGGAAATGCTGTCACTCAGAGTCCTAGAAGAGACTCAAAAACAGGAGATAAAAGTCTAAACGGGGCTAATTTCCATGAATTTTTATTAACTTTTCATTTTTTTAATCACTTTTGTTCAAACTTTCTGAGACAACAAAATAATAATATAATTGTATATCTACTGTTATAGCTCTGATAGACACAGCATAGATGGACATCACCCACTGCTTAATGAAATATTACTGTAAAGCCTCAAGATTTGTTTGTTTTTTGTTTTTTTTCACCATCACCAAATTGTTGTTTTGAAACAATCAGCTCATTGGATAATATCTTGTCAGTCACAATGATAGCCTGGCTCTTAAAATGACCATAATTAAGTAAATCAATGACTGTCTTATTGAGTATGACCCAAAACCAGACATCATGAAAGTGTTTAGTGGGGTCAGGGCAGAGGGATGTTTTTGCATAGATTTTTAGGACAATCAGTCTTTTTGCAGCCACAGGTTTCGCCCCCTGGTGGCTTTTACATTTACTTAAAAACTGAGGGCGTCACTGTTCAGTGAAGCCACCATTTTTCATAAGGGTTGGCACATGGAGGACAAAAGACATTCAAAATGCTGATGGGAAATTTTAGAAAAGACCACCAAACCAAACCATGTAAAACGTGGTTAAATTCACTCAGTTATAATGATAATAACTGTTGAACAGTCCTCATTTTTGATTTGTTCCCCATTTACAAGCTATGGCCTTAATGTAGACATGACTTGCCTTGAGTTTAATTGAAGAAGGATTTTCTATCTCTGAGTGTTTTCTTAAAAAAAAAATTAAAGGCACAAGGAGGTGAAATTAATCAGAAGTTTAGGATTTTTTTTAAGAAAAATTCTAAATGGTGCACTTTATTTGATCAACAGAAGACTCTGATGGTCCCTCTCAGCTTCCTTATAACTTTCATTATTGTAAAAAAAAAAAAAAATTAACTGCACTTTTTATCTCAGGTTATTTCTTCTAATTGATTTCATTTATTTCACCAAAGAACTGTTGGAGTCGTTTGTCATTGTAGCAGAAACACATGATTTAGTGGTTATTTATGAAACATGACTGTGATGTTTAAACTTGGTGTATGAGGTAAAATTCTGGGTGAATGTTTCTATTAAGATGTTTCTGTAGCATTGTGGCTATTGTTATTTTTCACATGAATTACGTAAATCTTTCTAAACATGTTTATTTTTCCAGATCCACTTTGTCATTATTGTATAATAAAGTTGTCATGGTGGAGAGGTTGTGTATCTTTGTGTTATTTTAATACACACTGTTGGAATTTCCAGAGGGAGTTCACAATAAAATAACGTAACATGCACTAAATGTTCACTGCCATGATATAGATAAAGTAAAGCAGGTCGACCTTTGCAAAAGTGTTTCCTTCTCACCTTCACCTACTCCACTATGCCTGAACTCTATTCTTCAACTCTCTTTTGTCTCTGTTTTGCTTTTTTAATGGTTGACTCATCTACTGTTATTATCACTATTCCTTGCATGTTCACCTTTTCACCTGAATTGTCTAACTTCGTTCACATACACGTAGTCTTGCTTCTACTGACTTTCAATCCTCTTCTCTCCAGAGTTCACCTCCACCTCTCTTCCACCCTCTTCCTACTGTCACCGCAGATCACAGCGTCTACTGGACACATCATTGCTGCACCTTGGACCCATCTGCCACACATCTCTCCCACTTTCAACTTTCTCATGCAGTACCACAGCTCCTTTCTTGATACCCTATCGTATGTAGTTTCCACAAAGAGAAAGAACTTCTCAAAAACACTCTTAAACAAAGCATCTGTGATGTTCTTTCTTGTGAAACCACAGTGCTGCTCATTGATTGTTGTCTCTTTCCCACAGTCCTCGGTGTCCAGCCTCACATATAACTCACTGTAAGCCTTTTCCTTTGTGTATGCTTGCCTCCCAATTCTACTGTCTACTTTCTTCATCTCCCTGACTAGCCCACATTTTCCTTGCTAAACTCTTCTTTAAATACTTTCCTGTCCTCCTTCATTTCACCATCAAGTCTCCTTGTCCTCTTGACTCTGTTCAGTGGATACACCAAACAGCTAGTGCTGTACTTTTCCTAGTGAAATGTCTTCTCTACTACGCAGTGCCCGTCTTAACCCCTTGCTGAACTTTGTGCAACATTCCTCCTTCTTCACCTTCCACCACTTAATCCTTGCCTCTGCCTTCATTTACTTCCTCTTCTTAACATTCTCCCCTGACAACACCTTAGGTCTTCTATCCTTTCCAGATTGCTTCCTCTGTGTAAGATGTAGTCCACCTCTGTGCACCTCTGTTTTCTTGAACCAGTGTGAGTAGTGCACTTGGTGGCTCCACCGTGGCTTGTTCTGCCAGGTAAAGGTAAAAAAATTAAAAAAGATGTTAAAGCTTCACTTTCAGAGATGGAAAAGATGTGATTTGGAGCTGTATAAATAAAACGGAATTGAATTAAACTAAGATTAGATTCAAAATGTAAAGTTTGATAACTAATTTTCCAAAACATGAGGAAAAATATTAAATGATTTCTAAGCTGCTACATGTCACAGCATGTCATGCTTGCATGCAAAGCATAGTCTGCATCTCATAACAGCTTTTTGTAGCTCTATCGCGATATTTCTATTTCACTTCCTCTTTACTGATCTCTATTTTTAAGGATGGATTTAAACGACATGCTGCCAAGAGCAGTTGCAGTTCAGCCTCATTTCCTGTGGGAGGTGGTTGAGAGCAGAGATCTGTTCCCTTCAGAGAACAGAGTTTGTTTCTGTTCAGACAAAGCGAAACTAAACGAGAGTCACTGAGAGAGTGAAATGGCACAGCACAAAAATCTAATGGACAAGGAAATATTCTGCTGTTCAATCTGCTTGGATTTACTGACGGATCCGGTGACCATTCCCTGTGGACACAGCTACTGCATGAACTGTATTAAAACTCAATGGGATTCGGAGGATACAAAGCAAATCCACAGCTGCCCCCAGTGTAGGCAGACTTTCACACCAAGGCCTTCGCTGGTGAAGAGCACCATGTTAGCAGATTTAGTGGCTGAGCTGAAGAAGATTGGGCTCCAAGCTGCTCCTTCTGATCATAGTTATGCTGAACCTGAAGATGTGGCCTGTGATTTCTGCACTGGAGTAAAACTGAAAGCCATGAAGTCTTGTTTAATCTGTCTGGCGTCTTACTGTGAGAAACACCTCCAGCCACACTATGATTCGCTTACATTCAAGAAACACAAGCTGGTGGAGCCGTCCAAGAAGCTCCAGGACAACATCTGCTCTCGTCATGATGAGGTGATGAAGATTTATTGCCGTACTGATCATCAGAGCATCTGTTATCTCTGCTCAATGGATGAACATAAAGGCCACAACACGATCTCAGCTGCAGCAGAAAGGACTGAGAGGCAGAAGGAGCTCGAGGTGAGTCAAGAAAATATCCAGCAGAGAATCCAGGACAGAGAAAAAGATGTGAAACTCCTTCAACACGAGGTGGAGGCCATCAGTCAGTCTGCTGATAAAGCAGTGGAGGACAGTGAGAAGCTCTTCACTGAGCTGATCTGCCTCATCCAGAAAAGCTGCTCTGATGTGAAGCAGCAGATCAGATCCCAGCAGGAAACTGAAGTGAGTCGAGTCAAAGAGCTTCAGGAGAAGCTGGAGGTGGAGATCACTGAGCTGAAGAGGAAAGACACTGAGCTGAAAGCGCTCTTAAACACAGAGGATCACAACCAATTTCTACAAAATTATCTCTCACTGTCAGCACTCACCGAGTCAACAGAATCATCCAGCATCAATATCCGTCCTCTGGGGTACTTTGAAGTGGTGACAACAGCTGTGTCAGAGGTCAGAGATAGACTGCAGCACATTCTGAGAGAGAAATGCACAGACATCTCACTGATAGTCACTGAAGTGGATGTTTTACTCTCAGATCCACAATCAGAGCCAAAGAGGAGAGCTGGATTCTTAAAATTATCACATGAAATCACACTGGATCCAAACACAGCAAACACATGGCTGCTATTATCAGAGAGGAACAGAAAAACGACAGCAATGAATAATCAACAGCCCTATTCTGATCATCCAGACAGATTCACTGATTACTGGCAGGTTCTGAGCACCAATAGACTGACTGGACGTTGTTACTGGGAAGTTGAATGGAGAGGAGGAGTTCATGTAGCAGTTGCATACAAGAATATCAACAGAGCGGGGATGGGGAATGAATGTGGATTTGGAGGAAATGCAAGATCTTGGGCATTGAAATGTTCCCAAAACAGTTATACCTTTTGGCACAACAACATCCAAACCCCCATCTCAGGTCCTCAGTCCTCCAGAATAGGAGTGTACCTGGACCACTGTGCAGGTATTCTGTCTTTCTACAGCATCTCTGAAACCATGACCCTCCTCCACAGAGTGCAGACCACATTCACTCAGCCGCTCCATGCTGGACTTCGACTTAATGGTTGGTGTGTTTTTGGAGCAAGTGCCAAGTTCTGCGAACTCAAACATTTATAGTCTTTCATATTCAAGTGGGTTTAAATCTGGATTCGAAATACATTGATAAAAATTCATATTCGTATTGATGCCTTTATATGTTTTTGTCTTCCAGTTTATGATGTTAACTTAATGAAGACATCAGCAGAGCTGCCTCATTACAGATGTTGCTCTCGTTAATTTGTACATGTGCGAAGAAATCTATGATACATTTGCATGTATCTGTAGGGCAAACTGAGTGTTTTTGTTGTTGTTTTCTAAATTGACAAACAAAATATAAAACTTATAATTATTGAATAGATCATTTGTTGTATGTAATGTGTGAAAATAAATGTTTTTCATACATAATAAAAGAAAAAAGGAAAAAAAGGTGTTTTTGATCTTTTTAATTATGGTGAAAACATACTGCATGTGTGGATCATCCCTATGCAAGAAGCTGGTTTAAGTTGATGATGAGGTGACTCATCTAGTGATGCTGTGTGATATTGCAAACTTTGGTATCAGTCCAATACCAAGTAAATACACGGTCATGATTGCCGATACCAATACAGATACTTTAAACCTATAAAGCAGGTTAAAATCAGTGGATTTTTATCCACTGATCAGTTTGCAAATCATCATCACTTTCCTAAATAAAACACATTTTAATGATCATATAAAATGTCTGTGATTTTTACTTTTGTTCATAGGACAAAAGTAAAAATCACAGTAAAAAACAAACAAACAAAAATAAAAACAGTAAAAACAGTAAAAACATACCTTCCAGCTTTTCTTGTATTTGTTTCTTTTTAAACTAGGAAAATAAATTTCCTCGTCTTTAAAGCACTTTAGCTATTGTTGGTTGGTTTGAATGTGCGACGTGGTGTATATGCCCACAGTTTCAACTTTTTAGTTCAGGTTATTATAGCAATTAAGCAGTACACACTTTGTCAAACAATAAGTCTGACTTAATCAAATCACCTGAATCCTATTATTTACAAAGATACTTCTGTCCTTTATCAATCATTATATGACATTTTAATTAAGAATAAAAAAAAAATCATCTGTCCACTTTCCACTGCTCTTTTATTTTAATTTGCATTTCACATAATTTTATTTTACTGTGCTCCAAACCCATTTCAGAGTGTAATATTTTCATTTAACACAGCTACTTTTTTCCAAATTGGAAAAAAGTAGCTTTATTTATATATTAAGCTTTTTTACACTGCAGTATTACATAAAGTATCATTTTCTACAATAATATGTAAATCATGTGACAGAAAATTATCATCATTAAATATCATCACTAGTATAAAACTATTTTTTCATATGAAAATGCAAAACAATTTGCAGATCCACCTTACGTAGAGATAATGGTTTAGTTTTGTTTTCTTAAAAAGGTATACCAATATAATGACTAAAATTTACTAAATGAGCTTCATGTTTTATTAACTAGGACTTGAATGAAGTTATTGAGCCCATAATTCTTCAGTTAACTGCCAATAAGCCAGCTCATAGACCTGTAGAACAGCTGCCCCCTGCTGGCCATTACACAAATAAAATACAGATTAAATACATTTGGCCTAGCGGTATAGCTCACCGCACCACCACTGTGTCATAGCCGGCACAAACATAAATAAAACTGAAAAAATCCTTTTAATCTTTGTCTAAATGTTCCTTTCACTCTATGTTTGTCTGAAGCTCGTGCTGCTGGTGAAGTTTTGCTTGAAGTGAAAAACAAGAGCAGACTGAGTCAGGCGGATGGAGTTAGTGCTTTATTATCACCGTAAAGCCTTTTTTTGTTAATCATGACACGGGAACATCAATCACTGAAACATATTTACAGCTCAATATCAGCGATCCTGTCGGGTTTACTTCGTCTGTAAAGTGCAGCTCTGTCAACACGAGCCTTTCACTTGGTTACAGCAAAAACAAGAAAGCAATATCTCACCCCCACGTGTCCCAAAAAACTAAAATAAAAATAAAATCATCTTCAGTAACTGTTGATTTCGGCTTTTTAGAAACATCTCCACTACTTTAACCTCCCACAAACGGAGAGGTGTGTCTGTGGCCTCTTTCATCCCTACATGAAGAACATGAAACTTAAAAACCCCCACAAATAATCATTGTGAATCACTCTGGAAATGAAATGCAAGTTAATGAATAAATGTGCAATGAACATAAAAGGCCCCAAACAACGACCCACATATGCATGCCTGGTAAATATTAAGACATTAGAAGAAACGGACTCAGCAGGCAATGTGAAAGAAGATGGAGTCTGTTTTTTATGACACACAGGTGGTTATTGGTTTTTCAACACTGTATCAGAGGAGCTTAAAGTCTAGTGTTTTTCTTTTATGAACACAGAAAGCCATGTTCTCCTTTCAGTTTGAGGGAACTTGAGGGAAATTTGTGCTTTTCTCCCTTTTATTTATTTATTTATTTATTTATTTTAACAGACCTCCAACTTTGCAAATGTCAGACCAGCAATTCACACCCGGAACAGCCCCGAGAGAGGAGAGAAAAGCATCTTTGGCTCACTGACGTGGCCTTAAATCTTCACGGTTAATTGGTATGAGAGCTCATTAACGAGTGTTACTGTCATGCAAACTCTGCTTTCATTTACATGGGCTCCGACCCTTACAGCACGCTAACACACACATACAAACACTGCATACGAACAGCTTGAAATGCTGGAATACTGGACTGATTATGGCATGATTATGGCATGATTATGGCTTCACTAATAAATACCCAAGAAAAAAAAAAAAAAATCTAAATTCAGAATTTTTCCAAGTCTGTTTTAAATAGAATTTTTTTTTCTGGTTTAAATCAAATTTTCATATTTATGTTCATACTGGTTGTGTTTTTGCTGTAAAATCTGTACAAAAGTACACTCCAATATTTAACACAAGCAAATACGAGGCTCCTGCATGTTAAGATTCAAATGGGCATCCTCCAAAGATGAAGTCTTTTTAGTGCACAAAACAAATTTATTCATGCTGTTGAGGACTGTGGATTTAGCACTTCCTCTATCTTAAGCAGATACCTTTAGTAACCAGTACGATGAGTTCATGTGGCCATGTTAACGTCATCACGAGTCACCATGTAAACTTAGCTCCCAGCTGACTTCCTCACACTCAGCTGATTTTTTTTTAAGTTAAAATAACTTCTTCATATTTAATGAAGCCATGAAAATTTTTACCTTCGTTCTACAGACCCTTACAGAATCTTACAGACCCTTTAAGTAAACTGAAATTTGTGGCTTCTTTAATTAGTCCAAGACCAAGACTTGAAAATCAAAATAAAGGTGGATTTTTCCTTTAATATTGGCACCTGAAAGTCGATGAAGTGGACCTTAGATCCATCTGGAGCTCAGCTTTGAACCAAAAGGAACAAAAGTTAAGTTGTATTCATGATAAGTAAAACGACAGGTGTAATTTAAGTGGTCTAAATTTTCTCAGCAGGTAACAATCACAACATAGGTCTCTAATGTCAGGGAGTCAAATCCAAAGGTGTCTGAATACAAAAACTAAAAAAAAAAAAAACAAATCAAACAAAACCCACCATCCTTCAAACTTTCAACCATCAAATATAAGCACAAAGTGAGCGCAGGTAGTTGAAAGTATGCTGACTTTTTATCTTTAAAGGCAGTGGTCAAGTCAAACGTACACTTCTTTTCTTCTATCCTGTAGTGCCATTTATCAAATAGATCATTTTGGTGTATAATCCGTCATTTCTTGACTATAATGTAACTAATGTGAACTCACTTTGTGGTGCTCAAAGCAGCAATCTTCACTGTCAGCGAGCAAAGACCAAATCATGCAAAGACAAGAAAGTCTGAAAACTTACAGGATGAATTTTTCCCTTTGAACCTTTCATTCAGCCGCTGCTTTCAGGTACTATCAGTAAAAGCTCAAGCACACTTAAGGCCAAATATTTTTCATTTTTGCATTTGGTCTATACCAGGGGTGTCAAACATATAATCTAAGGGGCTGAATCGGCCCACTGGATGGCTTACGAAATTTGAATTTTTAATCGGGAGGTTTTGAGTTACGCATCTCTAAAGTTAATCTATTATTATTATTATTATCTATTATCTGCTATTCAAACTTTCTGTTTCCAAAGTGCAGCCAATCAGAAGAAAGCTGGCTTTTGTTAATGGTTTCTGAAAGAGTGAGGCAGGCCCTGTCAGTGGAGGATTAAATCACTGTAGGAGGAATATGCAAGGTAACTAAGTAAGATTAAAGTGATATTTGTGGGAAAAATACACCAAAAAACCCCAAAACAGACCAAAACTGACCATTATTCTCATTAAAGTGTAGCTTTGAATATATCTATAGGTGAGGCATGCCAGAAAAAGAAACCAATAGCTACAGTGAAACGCTTAATCCAGGTCCAGCATAAGAGAAATAAAGATGATTCTGAACCGTGAATCACAACTCAAGTCCAAGATTAAAAACATGGAGCTGCAGTGGACTGTAAGATGTCCCTTTAGTGGGTTGATTTAAACTTTACTTAACAGTTATATTAACATTACTGTCAATTGATCGGCATTAAGGGTCTAACTGTTGTTTACATATGTCTGTTTCCATAAAAAGAAAAATATACTTAACGTTATAAAGAATATACGTTTTCCACCCCTGGTCTAAACAGCGTCTGAACAATCGAGCCACATTTTTCTGCAGCTAAATAACATCTAACAATATTAATAAATTGAACACGGTGTTGGAAAAACAGCTGGTTAGCAGTTACTAAAAATTAATTTTCTATTGATCAATTAATTGACTAATCAGTGAAGACCTATTGTGATGTGCTGAAATGAAGCCAGTGGATGGAAGGAAGGAAGGAAGGAAGGAAGGAATCCTTAAATGACCTTTTCAAAATAAGACTCAGGCTCTCTTTCTATCTTCTATTTGTGTTTCAGATCATCAGCTGACCTCTTTCTTTTTTTTTCTTCTTTTTTTTTTTAAATCAACAACACTGATGGAGAAAGTGGATGAGGTGTCCTGTTGCCCTCTGGGACCTTCATCATGGGTAAAAAAAACCATCACTTCCTCTCAAAGTGCACTCATGCAAGAGCCGGTACCGACAGACCCAGGTTCAATATTCTTCTCACATTTTGTTTTACGTCTCCCATATTTTTGTTAGCTCTTCTTATAAAATAAACATAAAAACAGAAACTTAGAGGTTAATCTATATTCATGTCTCTTCTTGAAAGTGGAGCCGGTATAAAAGCAGCATTTTTTTTTTCCTTTGTTTTTTAACACAGAATAAAACACGAGTCCTGGATGAGGCGTTTCCTCACCTACTTCCCTCCCTTTTACAGTGAGGGTGCGTTAGATATATCCTCCATTTTAGAGTGACAGGCCTCCATCACAAGCTTCAGAGTCCTGCACAGAGGAAGCACATGTTTTTTAGTTCCAGGCAGTCCGGGCGGGCGGATAGGTGGGCGAGTGGTGTTCCCCTCCTCTGATTCCTGAGCTGTGGTCTCGATTTTACCAGCTGGGACTCGCCTGGGAGGTAAAACATGCATCCTCTGAGTGTCGTTAAGCTTCAGACTCACCCTTCTTCTTCCCCTCCTCTCCAGCGTCACTGTCCTCTGACTGGCTGTTGCTAAGCACTAGGAACTGTCCGTCAGAGCCAGGCGGGTTGGCCGGGCGACTTGATGCAGCGATCAAGCGGCTCTGCTCCTCCAGATCCTGAAAGTCAGTCAAG